ACATTTCTAAGGGGAATGCTATGGAAAAATAAAGAGACAAAAGATTATCTAAGACAAAGACGATGACAGTTTCGAAAGTATGTAGATCCGGGTCTGTCAACTGTGTTAATGGCAATGGAGGTGAAGTTAGCAACATTTGTCTCATTTCCAGGTATGGACGATCTTTGATCTTTTTTTTTTTTTACTTTTACCCATCACTGGAAAGATTCTCTTAGACTGTATAGGCTTTAATATCCTCCCTGAGAGAAACACAAGACTGACACACACATTTTTCATCACAGACCAGGGTGCTGGTTTCAGGCTAAAGGATAAGGAATCTTGACCTCAGCCCCCTTCAGAGCAGGGTCCCGAGAGGGTCAGGTTTGTGCTGCATGACCCAGAATTGCTTAGCAGAACTTCTCCTTCAGCCACGTTTCACATTTCAGATTTTGAGTGTCACCTGCATGTGACAAAAGCACCTAGGTTGTCTGGGTGACTGCCCTCATTTGCACTGTGTTCTCCCTGGTTTACTCATCCAAAGCAGAAAATCATTTGCAGTATCGCTCTGCTGCTGTTCATGTGTCTGCGCCTGACGTTCCAAGTGTGTCTGGATCAGAGTCTCTGTACCCTACTTCTCTTTCACCAAGTGGTAAGTTTTCGAATCAAAACCTCAGGTGCGAGAGACGTTGAGAAAACGGTAGATAGAGACATGAAAGAAAGAAGATCCCTAACTACATTGCTATTTTAGTAAGTGAATTAATTGTCTGTTAAAATGCAAATAAATTAAGAGTTAAGAAAGGGGCTGCTACCCTAAAAGGCTCAGAAGCAAGACGTGCTGTGTAATTAATGTTTAGGGACTGGTGTCCAAGACAAACTCCACTTTGGAGTGAGTGATAAAGAATTACAGCAACATCTGTGTCAGCCACAACTGGGTCAGTGCCCATCATCCATCAGCTTCGGCTTTCAACTGTAATCATTTACGTAATTGAATAGAGCTCTTCTGACTTCCTCAGATCACTGGGCCTTTTAAGAAGTGATGCGTTTTGCTGCCATGAGCCTGCTCGTTTGAACTTCCTTTCCTTTGTAGTTCTTATTTATTAAGCATCTCCTATGTGCAGATGCCTCCCTGGGAGGTTTATGAGGCACAGACAATGAGACACACCCACTCTTCTGGAGGACAACAGGTCTAGCGAGAGGGAGAGAGATAAGTATCCATCATGGGATGAGGTTGTCCCTTTCACCCACCTCATATATTTAAATGATAACCACCAGTACTTCAAAATGTTCTTGTGTTTAGAAAGAGGATCCATAAAAAGACAATCAAGGTTAAATGACATCATTGGAGTAGACACTAGTCAAAGTGACTGATGTTTTTGTAAGAAGTGGAGATTGGGGCACAGACATTCAAGGGGAAAGGAATCATTCAAGGAGAGGGGTCTTAATGATGCCATCCCTGGCAACCCTGTAAACTTGGCTCAATGTTGCTTCTTTCTATTTTTTATTTAAATATGATTACATCATTTCCCTCCTCCTTTTCTACCCTCTAACCACTCCCATGAACCTTTCTTTGTTCTCTTTCAACATTACATTCATTGCCTCTTTTTCTTTAATAATAAAAATATAGATATAACCTGCCGAGTCCATGTAATAGTACCTGTATGTATTCTACGATTTTAGGGTTGAACACTGTATTGGCTATTAACCTTCCCTGGGGAAGACTTTTCCCCCTCACCCTCTCCATTCTGTAGTTGCCTGTAGTTCTTTGTCTAGGGTTGAGACCCTGTTGGATTTCCTCTTCCCTGTTAGGATGCCTATTGCTATCATCCATGTTCATGTTTAATTTAGTTAGCCAGGCTGATGAGACTTCATGGATGTAGCTTCTTTGACATTTCTAGAAGATACAATCTCACAGCAGACTTCCTGTTCCTCTGACTCTTACACTATTCTTCCCGGACTTCCAAAGTAACCCTTGAGCCTTATATGCAGGAGTTGTGTTGTAAATGTGTCATTTGGGACCTGGTACCATATGGTCATTTGTTGTCATCATTTCAGAGCTTATTGATGAGTAAATAAATTTCTGTTGTTGAAGTTGACCTGTCCATGGTATTTTAAAGAGCATCCCTTGCAACCTAATGCATATCAATTAAAGCATCTCAGAAGAATGGACAGTGAGGGGAAATGTCTGTGAATGACAGGCAATGGTAGAATAATGACCTTCCTTTAACGACTCACATAAGGCAGAAGCAACTGAGGGGAATCAATAAAACAACTTTATTGCTATTCTTACTTTGCAGATAGAAAACTGAGGCACAGAATGTTTATGCAAATTGCTCACATAGCAAAACTAGGAAGTGACTGTGCATGCATTTACATCAAGGCAAACTTTTTCCAGTTGCATTATGTTAGTGCTATTTAAAGTTGTGGAGAGTAGTAATGAACTGTGGAAGGGGATCAAGCTCATGCAGCCTTCCGGGAACTATACAAGTATGGTTTGAACACAAAGCCCCAGTGCTGGGTGGATCTTAGGGGTCTTATGGGTGACACTATTTGCATTTCATCTGGTATAAGTAGAATATTCTTTACATTTTACAGCTGTATCTTAAACCTTGATGATCTAAGTCTTCAACTTAGAGCATCTTCACAAACTGATTGATATTTATAACTGCTACATAGATTAAGACACAAAGTATTGCATGCCCTCATGTTTTTTTCCTATTCTTTTAAACATTTCTTCTAATATACACCAACTTCTGATATCAAAAACTTGATGTAGCTCATTTTGATCCATTGTATGAATGGAATCATATAGAATGTATTCATTTGTATATACTTGCTTTGGTCATTTTACTACTGTGAGGTTAATTGTGTTGTATATATTTATTATGAGTCTTTTCCCTTTGATGTGTAGTATTTCAGTTTGCATCTGCCTCAATTTCTGTGTCCATTATATCATTCACTGATGGTGGCCTACAGTGCACAGGCTAGCATGAATAAATTCAATGTGTTAATTTTTACATAACACACACACACACACACACACACACACATACACACACACCCTTAATGATTTGTAGGTCCTAGAATTCTCATGTGCTTAGCACTAGTGGATACTGCTAAATATCACATACATTTTATTGTCAAATACTGGAAGTTTACCACATTGATATTTTTCTATCATCAAAAGATGCAAAACAAGAAATTTTTAGATCACAATATGTTCTGTACCACCCTTAACCATCAACTAAGCCATCTTAGTGTTAATATTTCTGTGATGAAACACCATGACCAAGGCAACTTTGAAAATAAAGTACTTAATTGGGGGCTAGCTTAGAATTTCAGCGAGTTAGCCCATGACCATCATGTTGGGGAAGGTGTCAACAGGCAGGTGGCGTGGTGCTGGAGCAGTAGCTGAGAGTTTGCCTCCTGATAGGAAGGTAGCAGGTAGAAAGTTCAAGTCTGGGCCTGGGATAGGCTTTTGAAACCCAAAAGCCCTCTTCAGGTGATACAGCTCCTCCAACAAAGCTGCACCTACTCCAACAAGGTCACACCTCCTAGTCCTTCTAAATAGTTCCATTCACTGGGGGCCAAACAGTCAAGAATATGAGTCTACGGGAACATTCACACTCAAACAACAACATTCTACTCTCCCATAGGCTCGTAGTCATATTATATTGTAAGTGAATTTAGTTCAACTCCAGAAGTCCACATAGCCTGTCATGTAAATACCGTTTCAAGGTCCAAATTTCAAAGTCTGTTCTGAGACTCAAGGAAATTTACTAACTGTAACCTTTGGTAAAATCAAAATATTAAAGCATATCACAGATTCTAATATACAGTGGCACAGAATGCATATTAACATTCAAAAGGGAGGGAAGGGAAGCACAGTGAGTAAACACTGAACCAAAGCAAGACCAAACCCAGCAGGGTAAACTCCAAATTCTGTATCTCTGTGCACAATGTCAAAGGGCTTATTAGATGGTTCTGCATGTCTTGCACTCCTTCCGTCTTTGTTGACTTCAACACACTTCTTCCTTTGGGCTGGTTCTACACTCTGTCTGCACCACTGCTAGGAGATGCCGCCTTGTTGGAGGGGGTGTGCCACTGGATGTGAGCTTTGAGGTTTCAGAAGCCCATGTCAGGCCTGCTCTTGCTCTCTCTGCCTGTTGTGTGGGGATCAGGATATAAAATTCTAGTACCATGCACCTCCTAATCTCTCCCAAGCAGTTCTACTAACCGCGGACCAAACATATGAGCCTATGGGGGGCATTCTCAGTCAAATCACCATACTGAGTAAAAGATGTGAATTATTTGCATATTGAAAATTATGGAACATCATTAAGAAAAATCAATTGCAACTATACTGTCTCTGTGAATCAAAGACCCAGTATGAGAAAGACGTCACTTCTCTCATTTACACATGAATTTAGCACAGTCTCAAAGGGAACCATGAGGCAGGAGTGATTCTTGGTCTCTAGGGGGTTCAGTTAGCATTACTGTCCTCCTGACTACCAATTGTCCTTATGCCTGATTTCTCAGAAGAAGTGGAGCTCAGACACTGATCTTTACCACCTTAGGTGTAGTTAACACTCAGCCAACAATTCATATTGCAGCGGTCAGAGACAAAGTAGGAAGTTATATCCTGAGCTGTTGGAATTATGCTTCCATCAAACATGAAGTCTGAGCTCTAAGCACAGAGGATAAGAGTGTGGAGTATGTAGATGAGCTACCAGTCTAGACTAGCTATTGACTAGGTGGTCAACTGAGGATATGCATTTTCCCAAGTTAGAAAACACTCTTTAAATCAACTATTTTAAGTATTCTTCTTTAAAAATTGTGCTTTCATTTCTAAAAATAAGTGTCCCAAAAGAAGCTATATAAATAAAGTAATAAAAGCTATATAAAATTCAGTGTCTCAAAGACAATTGTGATCGACTTAACAGCCAACTTGACACTATCTAGAATTGCCTGGAAAGGCAGTTTCCTAGATCAGGTTGGCAAGTGGCTGTGTGTGTGTGTGTGTGTGTGTGTGTGTGTGTGTGTGTGTGTGTGTGTGTTTCCCTTCTATACCAGACAGATTACTTGCACCTCTACTGGATGGTAATCTATAAGTTAGTATGCAAAACAACAACATCTGGAATATCAATAGTAAGTCCTATTCCAAAGCAGAGACATTGTCTTAGGGAATTAACTATTCTCTGGGAGCATCGTTGTAACAGTGCTCTAGGATAATGTCTGAAGGATCTGCAACACTTTCATCTGTATTTCCAAGTTTTGGGTGATTTTTCCTGAGATATAGTTGCTGTTATATAGTGATATATTGAAAAAAATGGGTGTGGAAGAATGAGGCGGAGGATCTAGGGTGAGAAGGTCTATTTAGAAGAATGTCTGAGATGTCACATTTCATGTGTCCTGTAAAGGACAACATCAGGTCCTTTGTTACATCTGTTGATCCTTGATTTCCAACTCAGTTACAAAGTCTTCACAGGTGCGACTTGCATCTTAAGTTTCTCCTGGATTTGTCACAGCAGTTAAACAGGCTCACTGAAATGACCTGTTTGAGATAAATTGGAAGAAATTTCAATTCTCATTTAAAAATGTGGTTTTTAATGATGATGGGTGTGGTATTTCTCTCTACATAAATTGGTGAAATGCTCAGAGACCATTAAGCGTTGTAGAACAGGAAAGCATTCTCTTATGTGGCTGTCTTAGAACTGGAAGTAGTGATGTGAGCTTGTAACCTCAGCCCTTGAGAGGCTGAGGTAGGAGGATGAAGACCTCAAGGCCAACCTGAGATACCTAAGGAGACTCTGTCTTACTCACTGAAAACCCAAAACCAAAAACCAATGTATCAAATAAGTAAAGAAGGATTCAATGTTTTGTGTGGAAGATTGGGTCGCATGCTGGAACGCGCTTGGAAAAGCATCAGCCATCAATTTGCCATTGGCCCTTCATTCGGTCCTTAGCCAGCACTCTGCTGCAGTTCCCGAGAGAAATAAAGTCGTTTGCCAATTTTCCATCTTCATGTTTTCCCCTCCAGTTTTGTCTTAATCTTGGCTTTAAAATGAATCATGACTGGTTTACTGGAGTGAATGGCACTGTTATTGTGACTTGCCAACCTTTTCTTGGCTCCAGCAAAAATAATTCTGTCTGACAGCTGTTTCTCATGGTGCAGCCTGATACACAGCAGTCCACTCATAATGCCTGGGACCCATTTCTCAATTATTGATGCTATCCTCTCCAAGATCTTCACCTGGTCCATTTGCCTTCTCTGTTTTTCCATTATTTTTTTCCTGTTGGATGAACATTAATAAGAGATATCTTAAAGAACAACGCAAGTTGTTGAAGGAACATCACCATTCCTTAGCCAGGTGCTTTTCTTCCTGGATTAAGTCACTTAGGAACTGTATCATTGAGCAGGACAAGTGAGTGGGTAGACTGTCCCAGCTTATTTGTCTGCCTTGGAGTCTTGTGGAGGACTTACGCAGAAGACTCAAGGAAGTTTTCAACAGGCTCCTCTGCTTTGGGCATCATGGCAGCGCCAGTGCTCTTCCTTTAACGTTAGACATTTTATTGGATAATTCCTCGCATGCCTTAGGGATGGTATGTGGCTCCTTTTAAATTAAAGTAAGATCACATGGTGAAATTGACTTGCTGCACAGAGCCCTTCTTCCTGAAACCAACTTGAAGGAGAATTGTAAATGTTTCAAGGTTTATTTTAGAGCTTTATTAAAAAGGAAAGCATGCTCTATATGTATTCCTCAGAGATCAATATAGATTGAGGCCAATCTGCAATCATCTCTTCATTTCTGTGTGCAACAGAAAAGCCCATTCAAGCAGAATTGTGTGTGAGGCACTCATGAGCTAGCCCTGCCCATCATACTGGATTGACCAAAGAGGAAACAGCTGGGATGTTTTAGCATTTCAAATGAAAGGGTAAATGCAACACCTGAGATCAAATGACTTGAGAGTTTAGTATGAGAGACACAATTTTGGAAGAATAAAATCTTAGGACCCCAGAACCCCAGTGTCTTATTGTGGAAAACAAAGATGAGGATTTCACGGTCTCAGAAAAAGCATGGGTCCTTACCTCAGACTCCCTAAGTCATATGCACTGATAATCCCTTTCTTGAAGATGAGGTACCTTTTCCTAGCACCCTGAAGAAGCTATGAGCCCACGAAGGGTGTGACATACCACCACTGTTTGACCTCAGTGTGAACAATCTTGTTAGTTCTACTGTGGAAAAAATAATCTTCCCATATATGCATGAGTGTGAGGCCACCCAGTGGAACATGGGAAACCTACCAGTGGCTTTGTTTTTGTCTTTTCTTTACTGACAATTTAACACATGTATATAATGTGCTTTAATCAAATCTAGCCCCTGCCCTTCACGCCCCACCAATTCCCCCCCTATCTCCCCCACACTTTACTGTTTCTCCTCCCCCTACCCCCAGTAAGCATCAGTTGCAGAGTTTCTCAACTGTATGGGTGGGTGGACTTCATGAGCCTCTTACTGCCGATGCTGAGTTTTCGATTGGCTTGATCTTATGCAGGATTTACATACACGGTCACAGTCACTTTGAATTCATGAATGTAATGTCCCTATTTGATGTTATTTGTTAATGTGAACACTGTTAATGCCAAGCCATGCTCTCCCGTGAAAACATTTTAAATTCACAAACAGTTGTACACAGTTATGGTGTTATGTGTCTTTAAAAAGACATATTAAGTGCTTCTCTCAGGTCTGTGTCTAGCCAGGCTAGCCAGGCCGGCTGTCTCACAGGTAGACAGTCTCTAGCCATGATTTCTGGAAGCCAAAGAAACACACAAAGATGTGTCTCTTTGTCCTACAGAGTATGACGGCTGGCTTTATCTCTCTGCTTCTGAGTGTCAGGCTACTCTAATGGATGGCTCTGCCTGCTTCCCATGTTACAGGGCCATTCAGCTTCTTACTTCTGTGCCCCTCCCCCACAACACATCCAGGGAAAGACAAGACGGGATGAGTCTGAAGCCCATTGTTTCTGTATTTCCTCAGCTGTATACCTTGATGGTCTGTTTGGCCATCTTTAGATTAGTTCACTGCTTTCATGCCTAGTTGTAGAGGTAAGGCAGACATGTGTAGTTAATCCCTGTAAACTGAAGAACATCTGGACAATATGGTGGAGACCATTACCATGGACCCATCTCCTATAAGGACATCACATAGTCTTCCAGGATCTTTCTCCTATAAGGGCATCACACAGCCTTCTAGGACCTGCCTACTGTAAGGACATTACATAGCCTTGTAGGACCAGAGCAGTTTTTCTTCTTTCACCCCTACTTAGCCTAGTCTCCATTCTTTTGAGTTAGTTTTAAAGAACATCTGAAGATTGCCCGGGGTTGTCTTGGTTTACTTTCCCTTGTCTGTTCCTGTGCATGATGTACAGTTGTAGAAGATCACGGAGTGTCTTCTGAACTGAAGATGTTCTGAAATGAGAAGCAGCTATGCAGGAAAACAGGAAACCTGACTAAATTGACATGGTTCAGTAATTATTCTGCAGTTGCTAGTGATAATTAGAATAAACATCAAGGACTGATATCACAGGTCTGGAAATGTAACCACTTTCAACTAGGGCAGACAGATCAGAAGTTCAGTGTCTGTCTAGGCTAGAGTGAACTCAAGACCAACCTAGGACGCTGAGTGAGACCCTAACCCATTTTAAATATGGAAAAGGGACCAGTCATGGGCTGATTAGGTGCAGACAGTTTCCTACCAGCTGGAGAACTCACCTAACAAGCTTTGGGAGAGCCTCAGGGCCATTCTTCATTTTTGCCTCCGGATGAGTGGGCTCATCAAATCTTTCCAGAGACATGCCCTCAAGTGAAGTGCTGTGGACAGGCAACCAGGAGGAGGCTCCTAGGAGACACCATTAGAGCTTCCTTGGAGGGAGAGGACATGCATCAGGCAGGATTCCTGGGGCACACAAGAGAAAGAGGGTTCCCTGGTGAGGGCAGTTTGGGGGAGGTGACAGTCAGTGATGATGGTTCATGAAGCAATGTTTGAAACTGTAGCTCATGATGACAAAACCCCCAAAATTTAGAATGTTCTTAGAATGAGTGTCAGGAGAACGTCTTCCTGTCTCATCCCCTTGAAGACCAAAGAAAACCAAAATGTAACAGAAACCCACAGATGGGAGTTTTCAATTGATGGGTAGCAAGGAATGGCCCCAGCTTACCTTCCTGGAATTTTACCATCTCTTTAAAACAGACCTATTTGAATTATTATTTCCTTTAGGCAAATACGCACAATTAAGTAAACATATTAATTAGCCAGCGTTGGTAAATATTTTGAGGAGAAAGCCACAGTTCAGGAATGAGAGATGTGGCCTTGCCTACTGTTCCCTTGTGGTTTGTTTTGCAGCTTTGAAGCTCAAATGCTAATCTACATCAGCAACCAGAAATTATGACTAAGAATAATGGATTCATGAGAAATACGAAATCCATTTGAAGGTTTCCTCATTCCTTCCACTCTCTAATTAGCTTGTGTCTGTACATCTGCATTGGGGTGATTAGCTACTAAGATTTGATAACCAACGAGACCATCGTGCTACTTAGAAAAGGAGAATGGAGACTTCCTGTAAGCTTCAGAAGTACATAGCCTTAGGTGGGGCAGTGATTTGTAGTTTGGTGGCAGCTTTCACTGCAGATCACAGACAAAGTCGTATTGGTTAAAATTCTACATGGACTGTGATAAAAAGGAGGGGGGGAGTCGTCTTAGTAGCCATTTACAAAGAGATCCAGAGCAGGAAGTATCTGAGTAACAGATCATGTTTTAACAAATTAACCTAGAAATCACAAGATAGAAGAGATTTTCTAGTCTTCGCCCAACCTAATAAGGATGGTTATACCAGAAACAATCACCTGTCTCTAGTCTTGAGAATCAAACTCTAGGACCACTGAGAAGCAGCTGCCTGTAATGGAATGGCCACCTACTGAAGTGGGAAATTCCTCCTCAATGCAGTGTCCCCAGACAAGCCAACAGGCTGCCTGGCAGGGCAGTAACGGCACCTCCAGCCACACTTTGCAGACAGGAGATAGTTGCTAGAGCATGTCATGGTTTTTTCCAAATGGTTCTCGGGGTTTAAGTCACATATGGGATGATAACAGGAATGGGTGATGCTTGCTACAGTTTTCTCATGGCTTCAGGGACTCCAAAGCTTCGTGGGTTGAAACGGAATCTTTGTTGAGGTGCCAAGAGTGAGGAAACTAACACAACTCTGCTGTTGAAAGATGAGGACTTTGGAATTAGAGAGAGGCTTTGGGGTGGGGTTCTTACAATCTAGGAGCAGGTATGCTCTACAAGGGAAAGAGACTGTGCAGACACACCCATAGCCTGCCTCTGTAAACCGTGCCCCACATAACCTTTGAACTCTGCCAGCGAGATCTCATCGGAAGTTCCTTGACTTATCACCCCCCCAATCGCAAGCCAAAATAAATCTTTTATTTTTATGGAGTAACCTGCCTTCAGTATTTTATTATAGTAATACAAACTTGACTAATAGAGTGGAGACAGAAGGCAATGAACCTGACAACAATTTCATCACTAAGGCTGCTTTCTTCTCCAAGGGTCTGGCAAAGACTGTGAAAGCAAAGAATGCTAGTAGCACACTTACTTATGCTAGGAAATCATTTGTGAAAATAGAATGAGTATCGATGGCACCTTAATAATCCCCAGGTACTTCTAGAAACACACACAGTGTGCTAAAGCTGTCTTGAGTTAAGTTTATCTTCTGTTGTACCCATAAATTTTTTGCCTAAGTATTTTCCATTATCCTCTCTACAAGAACCAGATGACCCTGAGTTCTATTTTCCTTAATCATTTTAAGCAGAATTCAAAATACAGACACCCACAATTCTCTTCTCCTGATTACTGACTTGGATGCTCACCTGGGCACCACTATAATAAAGCATTGCAACTGGAACTAAATAATGAGTTCCTTCAGTTTAAGAGAGCAAGTTACCCCAGTTATCTGAGTAGGTCCAGCGGAATTACCTATGCCTTTTAAAAGGTACCTTTCTCCCTGCTGAGACTACGCAGAGCAAGAGCTTTGGAACATGATTAGGGCAAGAAAACTCTAAGAGTGATGCAGCTTTGACCTACCATTTCTGGCTTTGAAGATGAGGAAGAGACCCAGCTAGTCAAACAAAGTGAACAGGCTCCAGAAATGGAGAGTAACATCTACAGAGGAGCACCGAAGTTCTATAACATATCTGGGATTCTGCCCACAGCCTCATTTCACTTAAAGGGGACTTACTCATTGAGACTTCTGACCCACACAGAGCCATACAAATGCCTTGATGTTGGCTTCGTTAGAAGAAATACTGCCTCTGGTTTACAGACCTGTGAGACGGCAGATGACTATCATTAAATGGACAAGTCAGTGGTCAGTTATTATAACAGCTATTAAAAGCCGAGGTAGCATCCCGGCAATTCCTCCTAGATTCTGCAGGAAAACCAAACATAATCGAGATTCGGATGGGGTGGCCGCTCAGAACACCTGAGCAGCACATGTAAGATGCTGAATTTCTAACTTCAGTTCCTCAAAAAGCAACCAAACAAACGGGCTTTATTAATTAATGGGACTGGCATGGTAAAGTCCTTCAGTGTGAGCTGTGGTTCCTCCTGGTCTCTGTTTTCTCAGCTCTCTCTCATGCACATATATTCAGGGCCAGCCCTGCTTTACTTCCAAGACTAGATCCAGCTCATTCTAGATGGTATGGCTGAGACTTCTGATTCTCTCTTTTTTTCCCCCCCAGATTTATGTATTCTGTATAGTGTCTGCCTGCATGCCAGAAGAGGGCATCAGGCCCTATTATATATGATTGTGAGCTGCCATATGGTTGTTGGGAACTAAACTCAGGAAGCCTGGAAGAGCAGCCCATGTTCTTAACCTCTGAGATCTCTCTGCCAGCCCTGAGACCTCTGATTTCAATGGATATCAGTCAATGCCTTGATATCCCTCACCTTGGCACACCTCCTCACCTCTGTATTCAGGGCACACACACTAGAAAAACCAAAAGCTTCTGGGGACCATGTAAGCAAAGCCACTGACAACCTTGTTTGATCAAACAAACTGAAAAGCCAAACAAAGGAGAAGACTGGTTTCCTTTACAATGCTCTTCACTGTCTACAGCCTCTATAATGGCAACGCTTCCCGAGTAGACCTGCGTAGCCACTGAAACTGACAGCGACCAGAATCATTGACGCAGTGTGCCACAGTTGTACGGCCGGGTTTTGTGACAGCTCGAGACAAATTAAGAGTCATTAGAGAGGAAGGAGCCCCAGTTGAGGAAATGCCTTCGTGAGATCCAGGTGTAAGGCATTTTCTCAGTTAGCGATCAATGAGGGAGGGCCCAGCCCATTGTGGGTGGTGCCATCCCCGGGCTGGTGGTCCTGGGTTCTAGAAGAAAGCAGGCTGAGCAAGCCAGGGGGAAGCAAGACAGTGAGCAGCACCCCCCATGGCCTCTGCATCAGCGCCTGCCTCCAGGTTCCTGCTCTGTTTAGTTCCTGTCCCGACTTCCTTCAGTGAGGGAGGATTACAATGTGGAAGTGTGAGCCAGATGAACTCTCCTCCCCAGTTTATCCTCTGTGCATTACAGCAACAGGAACCCTGGTGAGTACAAGGGGAGTGAACTAATGCGGATTATTTTGATCTTTCTTTACCCCCCCCTCCCCGATTTAATTTTGTGGTCAGAATTCCAGGTCACAATCTTTGAACGTATGTTTTTGAGATCATAACATGATTACAGCACTTCTTCCTTTCCTTTCATACGTCAAGCCTCCCATACACACCTCCCCGCTTTACTTCAGATTCATGAGTCACTTTTCCATTAACGGTTCCTGGATTTAACCTGTTCAGTCTGAACGCAGCTAATTATACGTATGGCTCAGGGATGACCATTTGGCCCAAGACAACTGACTGGTGTGGTCTCTTCTGGGGGAAGACCATCTGTCCTGCTCCCAGCTTTCCTCGCTGGCCTGGAGTTCAAGCCTTCCAGACCTTTTCCATTCAGTTTGGCATGGCTGTTAGTTGTCTGCCTCATTCAGCTCACATTTGGGCAGTTATGTTGGTGAGACTTTGTGGGCATGGCTTCTGGTGTGGCTAGGAGACTCAATGTCACGGCTTCTTTGGGAAATCTGTACAATGTGTTTTGATCATAGTCACCTCCTCCCCCAACTTGTACCGAGTTCTCCTCCTTCCTGCTTATTTACCTGTCCTCTTTTTTTTTTTTTAAGTTAAAAAGCTCACCGAGTCTAAGTATGGCTGCCTGTATATTTCTGGATATAGGCCCTTCCACTGGGTGTGGTTGACTTCCTGTATATTCGTGGATGTGTGCCCTTTCACTGGGCGTGGTTGATTTACCATGAATATACTTTTTAAAACCAGAAACAGAGTTACATCAGTTTCTTTCCCTTTCCTCCCTCTACACCTCCCAGAGGCCCTCCCTCACCCCTTCTCATGATCCCATCTCAGGCTGATAACCACTTTTTATTTGATTATTACTGTCATGTAGATGGAGTCAGCAGGTGCACACAGGCGTATGCTCTTAGAGAAAGGCCATCCTCCCCTCCTGACAGCTTCATTTGACAACGGCTCCTCAGCTAGGGGGTGGGAAGCACATCTACTTTCCTTCTCCTTGCTCCTCCTTGGTCTGGCTTAAGCTTTAAGAATTCTTGTGTGAACTGTTACAACCATGATTTCACGTGTTCAGCTGCCCAGTTGAATCTGAGGACACCGTTTTCTTGTAATCGTCCATCACCCTTGGCTCTTATATGCTTTCCAGCCCCTCTTCTGCAATGATTCCTAGGCTTTGGGAAATAGGGGTATCACATAATTATCTCAGTTAGTTCTGAACATTCTTTGGGCTTCTAATTCTTTATACCTTGGCCAGTCGGAGGTCTCTGCGTTAATCACCATAGAAGCTTCTCTGATAAAGGTTGAGAATTGCATTAATCTATGGCTATAATGATAACTCATTAGGAATTGGCTTAATATACTATCCATTTAACAGATCATAGTAGGTTCTCATCTCAGGCCTATGGCCTGTCTAGACATAGATCATTGATCAGTAATGGTACCAGCTCTATATATTTCATCTTGTGGGGTGGGACTTAAATCCAGTCAGAAAATGTCTTTTTGTTTTTGTTTTTGAAGATAATTACAGTGACAAAATAAAAATGAAATGAAAACAAAAGCAAAGCCAGTAGAAAATATAAAATGTGTCCTTAGGCACACGGCTAGCGTGAACCCTGAGAGCAAGGGTGGGTGGGATGAGCCGATGGGAGCCGATGGGCAGTTCTCGCGGACACTTATGCTCAGGAAGGAGATGGACAGTCCCGAAGAAGCCGAACCACCCTAGGGAGCGCAGGCGAGAGTAGACGCACAGGGGTGTGCAGATGACCCGAGAGGACATCTGGGGACTCAGCAGGCCACGGTAGTGTTTGCCGCTCTGTTACTGGAATAAGGGGTTTGACCTTTTCATGTGCCCAGAATGCTACCACGTGCTCGATGTCACAACAGATCTGTGTCTGTCTCTTCTGCTTGTCCTTGCCCAGCGACATGCCTCTTGTCAGTTCTGACCCTGAATATTAATATGCAGTTGGAATCTGATTAAAATGAACAGCCTTCCAGCAAAAATGCATGCACCCAAAAGCTGCCTCCTCATGGGTGGTGCCGTGGGGGAACGTCCCACTGACCTCTGCCCTAAAGGAGTTGTTTCCGATGACTGTGCTTCTATGTTTACACCTTAGCTTGCCCTATGCCTACAACACTGCAATTTTGTAGCAACCTACGTATCCTCTTAACCTGAAGTCGTGCAAAGTACCCACCCACAGCACTAACAGCTATGAAATATGACAGAAGCGTCCAAGTGATTCCTACCTCTTCCCACAGGCAACTTGACCCTAAGCAGGGGCAAGGGGTTCTGACCACAGAACCCCTGGTCTGAAGGCTGGATTAAGCCATAAAATTGAATACTCCTGTCACAAAAAAGGAAGAGCTCTCACAGTTTTCTCTTCTACCTAAGGTGCCACAGTTGTTAAACAATAGGAGATTAAGCTCTTGTCAGGCAAGCTAATGCATTTTGGATTGATTTCTGTCTTCTGCAATGCTACTGATGTTTTTGACAGATATGATTTATAGGTCCTTCATTGAGTCTATTCATGAGAGCAGTTGTTTATTTGAGCTGACGGGCAAGCGCCTAATGTTTCCAATGAAAAATGCTGGGGGCCAAAGGGATGGCTGGGGCAAAGGTTCCCCCCGGCTGTCTGGGGCAAGCATCTCATAAATTTGTAATCAAGAGCCCAGAGAACTGATGAGGGCAGGCAGGCTTGGAAATTGTTTTGGTGACATTTGACCAGAGGAATGCATCTGGAAAATGTATGTCTGCTGCCACTGCAGGTCCTTCAAATGGAAGGTCCCACTCTGTGTTCTGTTTTGTTCTCTTTTTCCTTTTCCTGAAAGACATAAGTGATAGCTTCAGAGTGAGGCAAGAACTTCAACCAGCACCCACCCCCATGCCCCCACGCCCGCACGCCCCCACGCCCGCACGCCCCCATACCATTGTGCCATAAAAACAATGCTGCTTGAAGATTACAATTGCCTTTTATATACTTAAGGTGTCAAGAACTCATTATACTATACATGTATCTTATAATACAGGAACAGTTTAAAAGTTCGTAAGTAGAGCGCGTTCCATATTTCTGTTTGACAAAGCCATCCTCACAGATGCAATGGCCATGGGTTCCTGATAAAATACATATGGGCCTCTCAGTGAAAACTGCCCACTTTTGAAGAATCTTCTTGCCTTAGGATGCCCTCCCACTGTGGATCTATGGGCATTCTGTCTGGGAAAGAGCAGGAGAGAGGCCTTTTCCCCCAGCTGAAGATGCCTTTGCCTTGTGGTCTGGGATTCAAAGCTTCTCTGGGGGTTGGTTGAAGGCTCAGTTGAAAGTCTGTTTCTCCCACTGCTATGTAATGTATGTATGTATGTATGTATGTATGTATGTATGTATGTATGTATGTATGGTCTCATTCTCTAGCCCAGGTACACAATCGTCTGTCTACCTCAGCATCCCAAGTGCTGGGATCACAGATATGAACACCCACACTTGGCTCTTCCTTCCTTTTACATGGATGCTGTTCCTAACACTTCTCAAGTGGCTTCCTGAACACAGATCATGACTTACTGTTTGATTCTCAGGCAGTCCAGTCTACATCCCAGGAGGCAAAGATGGGAAAGATGACTTTCATGGAGGGAAGTGAGTAGGGTAGGGACATGGGATTTTAGGAATGAGAAGGGACACAATGACCATGTCTTAGATGTCCAAAACACAAGAACCATGAAGGTCGCTGCTGCCTTAGAATAAAGAAGTCCAGATATTCCCATTGATTGGCTCCTGAGGCTCTTGTGGAAAGTATCTGGCACAAGAATCCAGTCCCACACCATCTTTCCCATTAGGAATGCACCACAGAGTGTCTGGAATATATTCCCCCTATAATGAAAAGTAGGGTTGAGACACAGGGCACCTGAGAAGCAAAAATCAAGACTGAATAAACGCAACTAGTTTTATAAATCAAGTCTTGTGATAATGTCTGATGCTGCATCTATCCAAACATTCTACGACAAGGGGGTGGG